GTGCATTGGCCAGGAACCTAAGGGGATAATTGAAGGGGAGAGTTCTACCACTTAACCACTATCCATTCATTAGCAAATGTTTATTGAATGTGTTAAGTGTTTAAATCAGCACGCTATCCTGGTGGGGGAGTGGGGCAGGGAGCATTACACAAGACAAATTCTTTGCTCTCTACTAGCTACTGATCTAAGAGAAAAGATAGGAAATTCATCCTCTGGTAGCATAGTGCCTAAGGCACTTGACTGCTAACCAGAAGGCTGGCGGTTCAAACCCACCAGCCACTCCTCGGAAGGAAGGTTGGGCAATCCTACTTCCGTAGTGATACTGCCTCGGAAACCCAAGGAGGGGTCGCTATGAGTCGGGGCCGACTCGACGGCAAACAACAACAACAACAACAACAAGTGTAAGGTAGCAGAAAACCAACGTTGGTATCCTCAGGAAGGGAGGGATGGGTGAACATCTGAGTTATTTTGAGAGCAGAGCAGCAGGCTGGGTGCTGTGGCTGGTCCTGGGGAGATAGATTGATTCAATCATCTCTTTCCATTCCCTCTAGCTCCTTTCTATTATATATTTTCTCTTTTTCTTATTATACTTTGACCTTTCTCATTTTTCTCTGTCTTCTTTCTAGAATCCCTCTCCTGGCCATTTACCTCTCTGTGATCCACATCTCACTCATTTCCAACCCCTTAGTCTTTACTTCCCTACCCTCCTTTTCTTTAGGTCTCTGTTTGATTTTGAGAAGATGAATAGTTTTGCTGAAAATATTTCAGAAGCATTTCAAAGGCTTCCTAAGCTTTGAGGGTGATCTTTTTTGGGGCTAATTAAGAGTGGAAGCAAAGCAGAAGAAAAGGAAGAAATGGCTGCTGAAAGGGAGGGGGTGAGAGAGGGAGGGTTGGCACAAACCACTTTCCTCTACCACCTCCCTTTCATTTTCCTTAAAATATCCCCATCTCTGTTTTTTTATTTTCCTGCCTACCCCTCAGGGTTAGGACTTGCTGGGAAGAGAAAGAGAAGACCTACAGATTGGATCAATCAGCCTTCCATGGGGAACTGAATGAGCCAGAAAAAGGCAGTCTTTTAGACTTTGCTTGGGCTAATGATAATTATAGCTCCCATTTAAAAAAAAAAAAAAAAATTACTCTCAAGCCAATTCCAACTCATAGTAGTTCCATGTGCATCCATATGTGCTCCATGAAGTTTTCAATGGCTGATTTTTCAAAAGTAGATGGCCAAGTCTTTCTTCTAAAGTGCCTCTGGATGGACTCAAACCTCTGACCTTGTAATTAGCTCTCAACTGTGTAAAGTGTTTGCACCACACAGGGCTTCCATTTACTCATCCCTTATTTAGCATCCAGCTCTGTGCTAAGGGCTCATATCTTGTCATTTGATCCTTGCAGAAAGCCCTAGGGGAGGAGGAGAGTGGCAAGGAGGAATCAGTATCGACATTTTGCACATGAGGAAAGAGATTCAGAGAGTGAAGGAAAGACTTGCTATTGCTGGGTGTGTGTTGTGGGGTGGGGTGCAGGGGAAGTCCTAGTCAGGATTACAAACTCAGGTCTGTCTGATTGTGAAACCCGTGCTCTTTTTCTTGCATTAACCTAGCAGGACCCTCAGGAAACCACCTGCTGAGCCCATTCCTTTGTCCCGGATCATCTTCTCTTCAAGCAGAAGCAGAGTTCTCACCTCAGTTCCTAATCAGCTAATGAATTGACAGATAAGAGCAATAATTGTGCTCCTTATGTGCCAGCCTCTTTTCTAGGGTTTTCCATGTGTAGACTTTTATTCTTGCCAGTAACCCATGGAGCTCTCTAGGAGATCTGGCAGCATAGTGGCTAAAGCACTTGACTGCTAACCAGAAGGCTGGCGGTTCAAACCCACCAGCCACTCCTCAGAAGGAAGGTTGGGCAATCCTACTTCTGTAGTGATACTGCCTCGGAAACCCAAGGAGGGGTCGCTATGAGTCGGGGCCGACTCGATGGCACATAACAACAACAAGAAGTAACCCATGGTATAGTCCCTTTGCCATAATGAGGAAACTGGAACACAGAGAGGGTAAACAATTTGCCCAATGTGGTCAGTGGTAGTGCCAGGATCAAAAACGTGCTAGGGGAAGGGGACTATGTGGTCTGGATGAGGACTTTCCCTTTGGGGAGGCATTTCCACTTTAAAAAGTGTTGGTAAAATGTTTAACAACAGCTCTCATGGTGGGAGAGAAGCTCTGACTTGTAGCACCCATTCCTGGGGTGAAAATATTCCCACTATGGCTAATTTCAAGCTCTGAAACAAAATGAATATACCAGGCAAATCACAGCATGTTTTTAAACACAATCATAGACTTTATATTTTGTTTATTGTTGTTGTTTTTTGTTGTTATGTGCCATTGAGTTGGACCCAACTCATAGTGACCCCTCCTTGGGTTTCCGAGGCAGTATCACTACCAACCTTCCTTCCGAGGAGTGGCTGGTGGGTTTGAACCTCCAGCCTTCTGATTAGCAGTCAAGTGCCTTAGGCACTATGCTACCAGAGCTCTTAGATCCTAATTTATTATCACTTATAGTCTGATAGTGTCTTGTCCAGACTGGTGATAACCTGAGGGTTTGTGAATCTGAAGTAGGCTCTGATTACTGAAATAATCACTTAAGTAATTACTGAAGTCATACTGAATGGGGAGTTAGGAAGATACGCCAGCCATCAGCACTCCAGGGCCTAGGGGCTTCAGCACACCACCGTAGACATCTTGCATTGGTGGTCCTTGTGAGGGAGATGTTTTTGAAATCAAGTTTCCTTACCTACTGCTCTGTATTAACTTGTCTGCAACTTAATCAGACTTAAATACCTATTCTTGGATGATTAACTTTTGCTGGGAACATTTGTTTTGTCACCATTAAAGGCCTCTTCTTTCTCACCCAGACAGACTTCCTTTTCTACTTTACGCCACACCCTGTTGCCTATTTTCTGTTCCTGCTCCACTTTCTTCCTAATCACTGCTTCCCATCCCACTCCTTCCCACCCACATCTTCTGAATTTTTGTTAAGAAGCAGTATAGCCGGTTTGGGGAAGAGCAAATTCTACAGCTAAGTACTAGATTTAAATCTCAAATCTCCTTTACTAGCTGTTTGACCTTGGGCAAGTTACTGAATCTCTCTGTTTTTCAGTTTCTTTGATCTGTAGAATGGGGATAATAATTATACTCACTGCATAATGTAAAGCACTTGGTACTGTGGCCTTATGAGTGTCAACTCCTGTTAGTGTTATTTATTCCTGGGAATCCTTAGTTTTCTAAGCATTACCTCTCTCCCCCTCTTTGACCCCATCTGTCCTTCTGCTATCATAAGAAAACAGGTCCCACACCTTGTACAACTACCCCATTCTGTTCTATTTGGTTCCCCCTAAGGAGCTCTGGTAGCATAGTGGCTAAGACACTTGCCTGCTAACCAGACGGCTGGCGGTTCAAACCCACCAGCCACTCCTCGGAAGGAAGGTTGGGCAAT